ATAGAATGGAATTATTTTGGTCCAATGCTTGTTTTGAAAAGGTACTGATGACTGAGTCATCCTATTATGCCAAATAAACACAGTGGCTATGTAAGGAGACCAATTTTGTGTACAACAGTGAAAAAGAAAGAAAGGGAGAGGAAATTGACTGTTACAGTTGGATATAGACATATGGCAAAAGTGTGAAAAAAATGCAAAAGATATACTAAGCAAGCCCCTATACTGGACCCACGTAAGTGCTAGAATATGAATTAAAGAAAAATACAAGTATGGGGTCTTCCAGAAACACCTTGATTTCAGTTTCCTTGCAAAATACTAAGTCTCTATCTCTGGAACAATTTGGACACTGTAATTATTATTCTTATGCATTATATCATAGAGCTAGTCATCTTTCTTACTGCAATTTTTTCTCCAGCTTCTCTGCCATTTTTAATATCAGATAAATATAATATTGAACTGCAGAAAACACTAAACAATTTATTTTTCAGTCTCAGCTCAATTTACTCTAAATCCAATGCTCCTTTGCACCACTCCATGCTGCCAATCCCTCATCTTTCTGAGGATACATTTCTCATTTTTTTCCAGCTCCTTCCTTACTTGTTGGAAATTACACTGGAATTAAATATTTTTTAGAAATATAAGCCAGCATATTTAACCAGTATTGGTTAATTCCCACTTTCTCTCTCTAGATAGTGAGGAATACTTGTCTAAATCATGAATAAGGAAACTTTTTCAGTAGGCAGTGCAAAGGAAACTTTTTCAGTAGGCAGTGCAGAATTGTATAGGTAATTCATGCCACAGCCTCCTAATTCAGTGACTATGTCTTTCCAGGATGGTTATTAATCATTCAACCAACTGTAAGCAAGGTAAATTGAATCTAGTGAACTTACAAACAAAAACTTTTATTAAAAGATTTTGAGGAGCTCTGAAAATCAACAGCAAGGCTGGAGAATCAAGTGGGAACTGTTTCAGCTCTAAGGCACAAGAACTAATGGAAGAATTGTATAGAGAAAGATGTCTTCTCGAACGAGCAGCACTGGAATAAAAAGTCTCCAACAGAACTCAGGCTCTTATTTTCTCAGCTAATAATTCAAATTCAAAGGAGGTCATTTGTACAGCAAAAAAAACAAAGGCAAAACACCAGATTAACAGGCCCCAAACTCAATGGAGGAGAAAAAGTAACTACTGGAAGTGTAGAAAAGTTCATTACTCTTTTTAGTAGCAGTCCACTACTCTAGTGCTCAAACTGAAATACCAGCAGCTAGTATGTGAGTTATAATAATAGTAGATTAGTTCTGTCTGAAAAGCAAGCTCTCTTGGAATAATTTGAACAGCATTAACAAAGAAACAAAAATAACAAAAACCTGGTTCCTCCAATGTTCATCCTCACCTGGCAAACAAAAAGTAACAGCTAACACATATACTGTCTAGTTTTGTGCACTGTGACTTACATCTTTTGTATGTATTATCTCATTTAATTATCACAAAATCTGGGGTGTAGGTATTGTTACCACCCTCATGGAGATTACATCACTTGACTAGTCTCACTGCTATCAAGTAATCTTCACACAGGGCCTACATTCTTATCCCAGCACTAGGCTGCCTGGACCCAATGGGACTGATATGGTTTCGCTATGTCCCCACCCAAATGTTATCTTAAAATGTCATTCCCATAATCCCCATGTGCTGTGAGAGGGACCCAGTAGGAAGTAACCAAATCATAAGGGCAGTTACCCTTATGCTGCTCTCATGATAGCGAGTGAGTTCTCACAAGATCTGATGGTTTTATAAGGAGCTTTTCTCCGTTTTGCTCAGCACTTCTCCTTGCTGCTGGCTCGTGAAGATGGACATGTTTGCTTCTCCTTCCACCATGACTGTAAGTTTCCTGCAGCCTCCAGCCATGGTGAACTGTGAAACAATTAAACCTCTTTATTTTATAAATTAATTACCTACTCTCAGGTGTGTCTTTATTAGGAGCTTAGAACAGACTAATACAGAGACTCAGCCACATGGATGGAGTTTTAGAGGAGGCAGAAAAGTGTCGTGGATAAAAACCATGGGCCTGAGTTAAAAATTGCTGGCTGGCCATTTTCTAGCTGTGTGATTCCAGGCAAGAAATTCCAACCCCCACAACCCCACAAGCCTCAATATCCTCATTTGCAAGATGGAGTCACATCAGAGTCAGCATGTCATGTTGCAAGGTTGCACTGTTGTAGCAAGGAAGAAAGGGTATAAACTATCTAGCCTTGAGTGTTGAGCACGAATTAAGTGCTGAACAATCGATGGCCATTATTAGTTAAATATCTGTCTCATTAGAGACTAGTCTTGGAGACCCAGGTAATTCTCTTGATTTGTACCCTGAGCACCTTTCTGTTACTGGCACATTAACAAGCCCATATAAAATATTCTGAACATGAAATGTGTATATCAGGGTTCACACTGCCACATTATAACCTAGGGTTATAATAAGCTCCTCTTTAACACTACAGCTCTAGGTCCCCCCTGCTCCTTAAGCAAATGATGCATTATCCATCCCCCTCTTCCACTGGCCACAGACTGTTACCTTCATGAGGTCAGGGTCTATATCTCTTGTTCTCCATGTATTCCCAGTGCCTAGCACAGAGTCTAATACATAGTAGGGGCTTATCACTTGTGGACTGAATTTTTAATAGACATTTGTAATATGTCTTACAGTTAACCTACCACTTTCACATAAACATGTGCAACATCTCTGCAGCACAGGTTAGAGACACAGGGTTTGGAGCCAGACTGCCTGAGCTCAAACTTCATTTACTAGCTGAGCAGCCTCAGGAAATATACACAGGCTTTTAATTCCTCTGTTTTCCCACCTGTAAAGTGAGATTAATAACAATACTGAGTTGGTATATTAAATTGTTAATTCATATAAACCTCATAAAACAGTACCAAGCACAAAATGAGTGTTCTTTAAATGTCAGCAATTATTAATTTTGTTTGAAGCTGTTTTTCCTCCCATTTAGCTTTCAAGAATATATTATTCTGTCTGCCTAAATCATTTCTCTTTTTACAAAGAAAATATAAAAAGTGGCATATTTACTTCAAAATCCTAAAAATTAATGTGCAGCAGACAGCAAATCATAATCTCAAGAAACTGACTTCCAAAGCTATTTGGAAAAAGAAATGTATTTATAGGAACTGTTCTTAAAACAAAAATCCTCAATGGCCCTAGATATTCTGTAGTTTGTCTCTTCCAAATCATTTGTGTGGAACCTTCCCAGCAGCATTTGTCATTATTCTTTCCACAAACAAGAACAGCCATATTGACTTAAACATAAGTGTTCATATAAGTAAACACACACACACACACACACACACACACACCAGGCAAATTAATCTCACACATGGGCTGTCCCCTGCCTGAACCAAAAACCTCATTGTCTTATTAAGCCATAAACCATGTCCATTCCAGTATGCAGCTCCCCATCTCCTAGAGTATGAACCTAGAGATCAAGACACACATTCCTTAAGGCATCACATGACCCAATTCCAAAGATACTACAAGGCTACAGTAATCAAGGCAGCACGGTATTGGTACAAAAACAGACATATAGACCAATGGAACAGAATAGAGAGCCCAGAAATAATGCTGCACACCTACAACCATCTGATCTTCAACAAAGTCAACAACAACAAGCAATAGGGAAAGGACTCCCTGTTCAATAAGTGCTGCTAGTCATGTGCAGAAGATTGAAATTGGACCTGTTCCTTATAACATATACAAAAATCAACTCAACATGAATTAAGACTTAAATATAAAACCTAAAACTATAAAAACTCTGGAAGCTAACCTAGGAAATACCATTCTGGACATAGAACCTAACAAAGATTTCATGACAAAGACATCAAAAGCAATTGCAACAGAAACAAAAAGTGACAGTGGTACCTAATTAAAGACCTTCCACACAGCAAAAGAAACTATCAAGACAGCAAACATACAACCTACAGAATGAGAGAAAATATTTGCAAACTATGCATCCAACAAAGGTCTAACATTCAGAATTTGTAAGGAACTTAAATTAGCAAGTGAAAAACAGACAACCCCATTAGGAAGTAAGCAAATGACATGAACAGACACTTTTCAAAAGAAGACATACGCGCTCGGCCAACAAGCATATAAAAAAGTGCTCAACGTCACTAATCATTAGCAAAATGCAAATCAAAACCACAGTGAGATACCATCTCAGAATCAGAATAGCTAAAGTCAGAAAATAACATATGCTGGCAAGGTTGATGAGAAAAGCAAACATTTATCAATGCTGGTGAGAATGTAAATTCATTCAGCCATGTAGAAAGCAGTGTGAAAATTTCTCAAAGAACTTAAAACAGAATTACCATTTGACCCAGCAATCCCATTAGTGGGTATAATCCCAAAGGAATATAATTCCTTCTACCATAAAGACACATGGATATGTGTGTTCACCACAGTGCTATTTGCAATAGCAAAGCCATGGAATCAACCTAGATGTCCATCACTAGATAAAGAAAATGTGGTACATATACACCATGAAATACTACACAGACATAAAAAAGAAGATCATGTCCTTTGCAGCAACATGGATGGAGCCAGAGGGCATTATCCTAAGCAAACTAATGCAGTAACAGAAAACCAAATACCACATGTTCTCACTCATAAGTGGGAACTAAACAATGAGAATACATGGACACAAAGAGAGAAACAACAGACACCAGGGCCTACTTGAGGGTGGAGGGTGGGAGGAGAGAGAGAATCAAAAAACTACCTATGGCATACTATGTTTATTACTAGGGTGGCAAAACAATCTGCACTCCAGCCCCCTGTGACATGCAGTTTGTCTATGTAACAAACCTGCACATGTACTTCTGAATCTAAAGTAAAGGTTAAAAAACCCAAACCATCATATTTAACCTCTGACATTTATCTACACATTGGAGAGATGAGGAGGAGAAAAGCAAAGGCACAGGAGGCATCTGAATGTTTCTACCTTCAATACTGTAATATTCCAAGCAAAGCTCTCAGTTGCTTTGTTGAGTTTTCTTCCTTTCAAGCCTTCTTTTGCCCCCAAATTATGAAGTTCTTCATGAAACTCCATCCCTTTGAAGAAAGAATGCATAAGAAATCTGAGTATATATCTCAGAAAAATGGGCATCTTATTATGAAAATAATATCAGTAAAATATAATTTCACATTCCTGTCTTCTCATAATTTCCAAATCCCTAAATTGAATCATCCTTTTTATTCTATTCATCCCAAGTAGCTCTCCTTCACATAAATTGACAATAGTCAATGCAATAGGCTAAATTGCATTCAAAACAGCCAGGAGCCATAGAAAAGGACATGAGAAGTAAAGAAGTAAATTCTATGGGTACAAAAAATTACAGGGAGAATGAATAAGACCTAGTATTTGATAGTACAACAGGGTGACTACAATCAATAATAATATAATTGTACATTTAAAAGTAACTAAAAGAATATAATTGGATTGTTTGTAACACAAAAGAGAAATGCTTGAGGGGATGTATACCTCATTTTTCATAATATAATTGAAGATATTACATGCTTGTATCAGAACATCTCATGTACCCTAAAAATATATACACCTCCTATGTACCCACAACATTTAAAAATAAAAATTTTTTTAATTAAGTAAGTAAGTAAGAAGCAAATTCTTCCAACAGGTTACATCAACCTTGTTTGCCCTCTTCCTGGTTTATGCATGAAACGGCCTAATGTGTCAATGGCAACCATATGTGAGGAATCCATATGTCTTATTTTTCTTTATGAACCATCCATGTGGCTTAACAGTAGGCCCTGGAGCCCACATAGATAACAATAAGTAATTAGTAATGTTGACTAAAAATAAAAAAGGCTTTTTTAAAAATAGCATTCTGGGAAACACCCAAGTACTTCAGATTTGGGAATGACCTTAAGGTATTTTTAGCTCAACTATCTGCTCAAGCTTGACTATTACGAAAACCATCACCATCATGTTTCTTCAGTCTTTGTCTTAGCAGCTTAAAGATAGAAATCACATTCTCTTATGAACAGTTCAGTCCATCTTTGAAAAGCTATGACTGATACTGAGCCAACATCTCCTTCCCTGGAACTTCTACTCCTTGGTGCTAACTGGACACAGAGTGAAAAGTTCTAAACTCTTTTCTACAGAGCAAGCTTTTAGGTATTTGAAGAAAGATATTGGGTAAAATCCCTCAGGTCCTCTCTAGGTTAACCATTCAAACATATTCAGCTTAACAATAAAACTTGCCACTGCATTGCCCAGTTTCCTGGAGCTGAGCTCTGTGGGAACCTGTGTCCAGGAGTGAACACTGGACTCAAAATGGGCTGGGAGAAGCCCACATGAGGTTGGGGATCTATCATCCATTCTCCTTGTTCTAGTTCTTATATTTTTATTAATGCAGCCTAAGACCACGTTAACTTTCCTGGTGCTAACATCACAAACATAGCACGTGGTAAAGAATATGAGTGTGGAGCCCAGCTCTACCACTGACTAGCCATGTGAGTCTGGGAAAGACCTTGACATCTCTGGGCTTCAGTTTTCTCGCTGGTGACATGTAGTTAACAAGTAGGTTTACCTCATGGGTTTGAGGTAAAGCTTAAGGGAGTCAATACGTATAAAGATCTCAGAACAGTGCCTGGAATCATGTAAGTATCAGGTATTATTATTTTTGTGTTTCCTGTCAACAGAAACATCTAAGCCTGCTGGTCAGTCAGTGAAAACCACCACTTTAAAAGTTTGGTCTAAATTCAAAGGGCAGCTCCACCAAGTGTTGATATAGGACCTAGGGTAAGTCAGTCTTTCAGAGTCTCAGGTGCCTCCTCTGTAAATCAGATATAATGATGATTACTGTGCAGAGTTGTCATGAGTAAGACAATATGTGTGCTTGGTATAGCATATGCATACGTATCAAGAGGTTGCTACTGTTGTCGTCTTCCTTGTCATAATCATTATCATGTGTGTGGATAGAGAAGCCTGCGGATCCAGGAAATGAAAGCACAGGGGTGTGGATGAAGGTGAACTGAAATAAACAAGTGCACTCTCACAGATATGTGACTCATCCCACACTTAAAAAGAAAGAAAAAATCTAAATCTAAAGTGAAGACTACTAAGGGGGCAAAAGCCTAGAAGATTAATAGGATTTTGGTTCCAATTGCAAAACTGAAGTGGGTTTTAAGGGACTGTATGGAACCATAGCTTCAATATCAGCAGTAGAAGGTTTTGATGGGCTCCAAACCACAAAATCAGATTCAGAAACCCTTATCCCTCTAGACATCTTCAGATACCGCCCCAACCCCTGTATACTCACAACCCACCTATTATCACTTGGATTTCTTCTGTACTAAACAAAGACTAAAGTGTAACTTAAAGTATAAACAATGCCATAAAATAATTGAATTGTAAGAGAAAAAGCAGAAAGATTTTGAAAAAAAAATCTATTAAGAATAATTATGGTTTCTTTTTATTTAATTATTGTACTTTAGGTTCTGGGGTACATGTGTAGATCATGTAGGATTGTTGCATAAGTACATACTGTTATGGTTTCTAAACAAAATAGAAAAAATGGTAAAAATTAACAATTACCTGCTTTCTGACACTGTACAATCTTTTCCTGGACTGTGTCTGCCATTTCTATTAGAAACCGGCTCTCTTGAATCATCTGTGACAAAATAAACATCAAAAAGGTGCTTGTCAGAATCCTTGAACTGGCTCATTGGGAAGATGACATACAGAGAGACCCAAATGATACCTCCAGTAACAGGAAGCCATAGTCTCACCACAACAGATGGGAGGGAGAAGGATAAGATCTGTTCCAACCCCCATCCATCCTAACACTGAGGCTAGTGTCACCTTCTTTATGATTACTCCTTTGTGTAACATGCTTGGCACATATGAGCACCAAATAAGTAGCTGTTGAATAAATGTATATACATTCCTTAAATCCCAGGTCATATTCATAAACACCTAATTCCACTCCCTTAACACCAAAGATTACTACAACATCAAGGCAAGTGGTATTGGAACACAATAGCAATGAGAACCAGAATAGGGTTGTTTATCCTTCCAGAGGCAGCCAAGTCACCTTTAAAAATACTATCTGCTCCATTTTATCAGCCCTGTCTCTCCTCTACTCGACTTCCACCAAAAAAAAAAATGAAGTATCTCCTGTGTTCTCCAATCTCTCAAATCCCCCTGTGCAGCACTCCAAGGTGGGTTTGAAGTTCCACTCACCAACCAGCAGGCTCCAGCCCTTCCCATCTCACTCCTTCCTAAATACTACTTCCAGAATCATCATCCAAAAATACAGTACTAATTAATTCCTGGCTTTATCATTTTCTCCCTTGCTTACTGAATGAAGTAAAATTTTTCTAACCTAAAGCTTACATCTCCCCATGTACCAGCTCATTTCCCTCGACAGCCTTTTTTGCTATGGTGTTCCAATTCCCCTAAGTCTCAGTTGACACGGATGAATCACGCTTCTCTAAACACATCCTACTTGTTCCTCCTACTATACATTTCTTTCTATTAGGGAAGTCTTCTTAAGCCATCTCCCTTGGTCAAAATTCTGCCAGGCCTCAAAGCTCACTTCAATGCCCTCTCCTTTATTGGTTTCTTGATTTCCCCTTATGTCTCCTCCTCACTCCCCAAATTCCCAAAACATTCTATTTTTTCAATCTGTTCATGGAATTTTTTATTTTCTATCTTATAATTTATTCTTCACCTATATTATTTCCATCTTTTTACTTCCTTAGTAAATTGTAATTCCAGTAGAGCAGGGACTCAATCTTATTCAGCTTTGGATTCCTAGATTCATCCATTCATTTATATAATCACCTTTTTCCTCTGTTTTACTTCTGTGATACTTATTTCTTTTCCCTCTCTACTATCCACATATGTGTGTGCAAAAACATTTTATTTATTACTGACCACTTCTCAAACTTTTAATTATCTTTTTGAACTCCCATCTCTCTTTTTGTCTCTAGATTTCTCCACTCCTTTTTTTTCTAGGATTCCCTATTTTTCTATAATTTTGTATGCTCTTAATTCACTTTCAAATTAAGTACTAAAAAATAAGTATAAACCTTTTAACAGGATTACCCCTCTAGAAATATAATACTCAAACATCAGCAAGTAAAACAAATGTTAAAACTTTATTACATGCCTATTTGAGGTAAAACAAATTCAAGATAAAAATATCCTCCAAAGCATCATAGTTCAAGTTCTCTTCAAAAGCCCCCAAGTAAATATTTGTTAATCCCATAGTATAAGATGTTTCTGTTTTTCCCATTGTCTAATAAACAACATAAAGTGATAAAGCATAATCTAACCTCAAAACTAGCTTCTCTTTGAGATTCCTCAGGAGATAACCTGAAATCTTTTGGTACTAAAAGTCCCAAATTGTATCTCACATATCTCATTAATATTCTCAGAACATAAAATCATTGCTCATATAAAATTGTTTCATAAGAGCATTTGATTTTCTCTATGACAACAGCTTCCACTGTATTGAGAATAATACATTTATTCTACTTTCTGCAGTCAACTTTCAATTATTAGTAGCTATAGAAATCAAATGAGATGGATAGCTAAAATATACCAATAAGCCAAACCACAATTTAAGTCAACAATTTCAAATTTTGCTCTCAACTAAGTAATTTATCTAAGTTTTCAGGGAGAAAAAAAAATGGTTGATTTGAGTTTCATCTCCTTCCTAGGTCTCTAACAGATACGGGTGGAAATAAAACACAAAGTGCAAAAGCCAAGCAGAGAAGGTGAGAAGATGTCCTCAGATAATTCCTGAGCTGGGAAGTCAGCACGACTCAGCCATGACTGCTGGGTTGACTCATTTAATAGAATCTGGCAGTGGCCTGATTTACATATCTGATGTCTCAGCCTGAGCTGCTAGTTGCCTTTGCCTGTTGTAGTAATACAAAGAGCTTTTCTCTGATTCTGTCACATGAATATCTCCTAACGGATCTTATTGCCTTGTCAGGGCTCTGTCTCTAAAATAGAGGACTTACCCAGATAAGAGTTGACATTATGTATTAGATGTATCCAGGGCAGAGGTGTGTAAAGTTGCCCGTTAAGATTAAAATTATGTCTTTAAAAAGAAAACTTTACTGAAGGGGACAGTGATGCTATTATTCAAAGACGGATTAAATTGTCCAGCTTTTGTGAAGAAACTATCCTTCCAGCTTTTCCCACTAAGAAGTTTAACTAATTGCCCAGAATCATTGCAGAGTCAATGAAATTATTTAATAATACTGAAAAGATGCACTTTCATCATATTAGGACTCAAAAAACTTGCATAGATTCCCATTTTCTCCTGAATTAGATCTAAATTCCTAGAACCACAAATCTTTCTACTTAGAAGTCTATCATGGACAACCACATTTTATAGATGAAAAAAACTGAGCTAGAAGTTGACTTGCCTAAAGCCACATGACTAGTTAGTGAAATAATTTAGACTAGAATCCAGGCATTCTCGAGGAGTAGACCATATTAAAGTGTAGAATTCCTATTGCAAGTGTAAGTTGGTGATAAACACTTAATAAAGTCACGTTTATCAAATTAAGCATCATGAAAATAAATTTTGCCATTACTGCTTTTCCCTCAAAGTCTAATTCACAACATACATCAACCGTAATAAATATTTTTTTTTTTTGAGACAGAGTCTTGCTCTGTTGCCCAAGCTAGAGTGCAATGGTGCAATCTCAGTTCACAACAACCCACAACCTCCACCTCCTAGGTTTCAAGCAATTCTCCTGCCTCAGCCTCCTGAGTAGCTGGGATTATAGGCATGCACCACCATGCCTGGCTAATTTTTATATATATATTTTTTTAGTAGAGATGGGGTTTCTCTATGTTGGTCAGGCTGTTCTCGAACTCTGGACTTCAGGTGATCTGCCCACCTTGGCCTCCCAAAGTGCTGGGATTACAAGCATGAGCCACCGCGCCTGGCCACATTTTTTCATATGAAACTTAGAAAGAAATGTATTTACTTGAGCCCTCTGCTTTTTCAGGAAGGAGTTAGGAACTTTGAAGAAGCTATTACTCAAGAAAATGTGAGTCAATAAAAAGCTAATCTACTCTAGACTTTTTTTTTTTTTTGTCCTTTCCTTTTCAGAACACTGGAATAATTCCTCTATCTCTTACTTTCCTGCTAAGCAAAAAACTAGGTTTTGATTCTTTGGTTCTGCAGTGGCTCATCTTTTCAGATCAATTAAAATAAGATGAATTTTATTAAATTTGGTATATTTGTAAATCAGATTGCTCTTATATATATACTTGCTAACTAGAATGAAGATTATTTCCTTTAACTCACAAGTTCCTTAAATATTTTAAATGAAATAAGTGAAAGTATTGCTAAAAGATTGACATCTTGTTCAGACTGCTCTTGCATAAATATTTGCTAACTAGAATGAAGATTTTTCCTTTAATTCACAAGTTCCTTAAATATTTTAAATGAAAGCATTGCTAATAGGTTGGTATCTTGCTTTTAGCAATTAAGCCTGTCAATGTGGTCAACTCTCGGTCACAGAGAAACAAGTATAAAGTCAGAATATTTGTAAGCTCACTGAAAGTTCACTGCCTTTGGTCTATGCAACAGAGCTTTCTGTCCTGGGACTAATACATCACATTTTCAAACCCCATTTGTAATGGTGCAAAACAAGTGAATTCGCACACAGAACTGTGTCATTTTAAATGAGGTCAGAGGACATTTATCTCCATGTTCACAATGGTGACAAAATCTACTTCAGGGAGCCCTTTTGGCATAAACAGATCACTTCTTTCTCTTATTGTTTTGCTCCCCAAACAGTTGCAAGCTATACCTTGAGTAGTCATTAGAAATATTTGTTTTTATCCAGCTGTCATTACAATTTGGTTCCTTCATAAAACTGCCAGGTGAGTAGCCTTGGCAGGCCTTCTCCAGAATTTTCAGGTCAATTTGACTACCTTACTGCCTTTACCTAAAAGTGTTACAAAGCCTGAGGATTCAGTAAAGCAAAGCCAACTTTGAATATGAATGGTCAAAATTCCACAAAAAAAGCCAATTTGAAATATTTGCTTAAGGATATGTATCTCTGATATCCATAATCCTAGAGATCCTAGTACCAACTGAAAATTTTGCCACTCCCCAAGATGCTGATAATTTCCCCCTCATACACAAAATATGTCCAAAGACATTGCTGTACCCTCATGTGAAGGAAGTTTCCATGCCCCAAGTGCACAGGATCTTGTTTTTAAGCAGTGAGCCCTAGTTGGGCACATGCCAAGCAGATGGTTCTGTTGTTGGGTTCTATTACTATACAAGTGAAGATGCTTTTTGAAATGCAAACTAATAAAGTTCCACACAAACTTCACAATAAGAGACAGTGATGGAAAGAGAGTATCTTTGACTTAACCTAACTTTAATTTAAATTGATTTTAATAAGTAAAACGAAATTGGGTAACTAAAGACATAACTACAACTCTTTTCCATCCTGAGGCTGAATATATACTGATTATATCACTGATATAAGAGAATGTATTGAATCCAACCATTGTGCCTGGCTTACTTGTAATACCTACTAGTGTTCCATTGCAAGTGTGATTAGACAGCAATTACCCCTTTTTGCTAGATTCCTGCTCATGCTAGCACAATCAACCACTCTCCAA